ATAACAACCCTAAATACCTGGGTGTAACGCTCGACAGATCACTGACGTTCAAAACCCATCTTACGAATGTAGCTGCCAAAATGAGAACCCGTAACAACATAATAACAAAGCTTGCTGGAACATGGGGTGCCACTGCGGATACACTTCGAACCTCCTCACTGGCCCTGGTGTATTCTGTCGCTGAATACTGCGCACCGGTATGGCTAAATAGCGCTCATGTCAACAAGATTGATGTTCAACTAAATTACACTATGAGAGTAATATCTGGTACTATTAAATCAACTCCACTAAGATGGCTTCCAATTCTGAGCAATATAGCACCTCCAGATATTCGACGAACGGCAGCACTTGCCAGAGAATATCAGAAAATTATGGCAAATAATCATCTGCCAATTCACCAGTATATTCCGGACGCCGCACGAGACCAACAAAGACTGAAGTACAGACGACCCCCTGTCCAATCCGTTCAGGGAATGGGTGATAACTACAATAAGCAAGAGCAGTGGACGAAAAGATGGATGCCAACAACAGAGCCAGACGTCATCAAAATAACAAGTACGCCGATCGGCTTCACTGGATCAAACCTGCCACGCCCTATATGGACAAAATTAAATCGCATACGCACGGGTCATGGCAAATGTGCCGATTCTCTATACCGATGGGGTCATGCAGAAAGCCCACAATGTGATTGTGGATCCCCGAGACAGACCATCCAACACATCATGGCGGATTGCCCAATCCGCAGATACAGCGGAGACCTTCAAGATTTTGCAGAGTGTTCTCCTGGTGCAATTGAATGGCTGTGCAATTTGGACATTAATATTTAATATTTAACTTAGGTTTCAAGTCCAATTTTAACATAATTATTATCTAAATACTACTTTTACCGCATTGTAATTATCCATACGCTAAATAAATAATAACCTCTAAGTACTCTTATTAACGTTTTAGTTATGTTTGCTTTTTTTTAATGTTGCATCTACATATTTTTTAAATGTTAAACCTTGATCCATTATGATTCATAGGTATTCAGCATCTCTTTTTCATTCGATGGGATTGTTTTGCACCGTCAGTGGTTCCTCGGAGTTTTGCCTTCTCTTTTTAAAGAGTAGCACTTGCGAGTTTATGGCGATTTTCCATTGTATGCTCTATTTGTCTATGCTATCTAACGCTGTTTGTAACTTATTTGCCGAAATGTCAATGTTTTTGTTTGGCCGCAATATCTGTGTCGTAGTCATAAAGTCAAGATGTCCTTAGACCATCGACGATGTATATTGTATACAGTAAGAGTGACAGGACTGCTCCCTGTGGTACCCCATCCTACGGAGTTCCGAGTTCGAACAGGACTTCCTATTTGAAAGCTTTGCTTACATCCAGGATGGCTGCTCCTTTGTATTACTTATCATTGAATCCGCCTATTATATACTCTGTTAGTCTAAGTACTTGTAGGTCACTGGAGTGGTCTACTCTAAAATCGAACAAAGCTTTTGAAAAAACTTTTCCTACTCGTCTATTTCCTTTTGGAGTCTGCTGAGTATGACTCTTTCCACAATCTTGCTGACTGCTGGAAGTAAGCTTTGAAATCATGACGATATGGGCTTCCTTTCATTGGTTTGGGAAGAGCCTGTATCTCAATATCGCATTTGTTAGTTTGTTAGAAATACTATGGCTTTCGCTGGTAGATATTTAGAGCTCTGGTTGTTTGTCTAAACCAGGTGCTTTCCTTGTAGAACTGTTTTTTTATAAGTTCACTTATTTTCTCTGGAATGTTGAAGAAATGATTCCATGGGCATTTTGTATTGTTCTTCGACTTTTTCTATGAAGTCGATATCTTCGTCTGAGTGATAGTTTAGTTTTAGTGTACACTCTATCGAGAGAGTATGCTCCGACTTAATTGTTACTGTTGCGGAAGTGTTGAGATCGGAGAAAAAGTTTTTATCTCTAGGATTTATAAAAGGCATTTAGTACTGGAATCGAACCGTTAATGTAAAAAATTGGAAATAGCATAAACTGATGAAATATCTATACAACTATCCTCCAAATATACCAAATAATCTGTAAAATGCAGAATATTATACGATTGGGAAGACAAAGAAGGCAGAAATAGAACCATTCTTATTTAAACAAGTTATTTTTCTTTATCTCCAACAGCAAAAAAAACTTAACAATTCCCTTTTGTTGTAATTTCAAAAATTCAATTTTATTTCGTGAAATCTATATATCTCCAATGAAACTCCGTCTCGGTAGATTTACTTTATAACAGTCATTTCATTCACAATTACGCATTTTCAATGCGAAGGTTGAATCAATTACATGCGATTACACGTATGTTTGTGAACTTCATAAAAAGTGAAATGTTCGTAAGGAAATGTAATTTTGTACCTGTTCATTTGTCGCATGCAATATTTAAGATTTCGATCTTGCTAAGCTGAATGTGTGAATAAAACACATATGAATTGTAATTTGTCATGAAACGTGTAAGGAATGTATGTAATCAAAAAAATCATTTTTTTTAGAGACAGTAGAATAAACTTTAACAAAAAATAATGTAGTTAGATTATTTAGTTCAAATAAGATTATATAGGCTATATGATAGGTTTTTGTCAATTGTTAGATGAAATTTTTAATATTAAGTTATTTAGTAGTTAACGAAAAACTTTGACAGAAATTATCAATAAATCATTTATCTCTATCGACATGAATGAGCCATGTTAGAGCCTTCTTTCCTCACTTTTATAATTTATCTTAAGGATCACTTCCTCCTTTTACCCAAGGGTCTCACTTTTTTTGTATATACTAAGGTTGGTATTCATCTTGGAAATTGGTATTAACTAATATAAAGAAGTTAGGAAAGTTATTGGCAAAACGTCAGGACATTGAATATATAGGTCACAAAGGTTTCTTCTGACTCTATTATAAAATGTTGGATCTAATCTTGTGGCAGAGAAAGCGTCTTAGAATCGATCTGTGAACATAATTGATATAAGTAGGGTACTCGGTATTACTAGCTATTTTAGAGTCATTTGAAAGATATTTGAATCGTAAACTTAGTTTGGATTAAAGTATTTAGAGACAAGATGAATATTATTCAGGATTCTTTTCTGTTCTTTTTTAGAGAATATCTTGCCTCAGATCGTTCTTGTATTCTGTTGTTTTTGTCTGTTGTGTAATTCTTTAGTCTATTGAAAGCTTTTTTATGTACTCTTGTAACTTGATTGCATTCAGGTGTCCAACACGGAAGAGGTTTATACTTTTTAGAATTTTTTTCCCTAAATACTTTTCGGTAGCTGCTATGACAGTTTCTAAAAATATGCTTAAAAAGTAGGTAGTCAATATAGTTTAATTGTATGAAGATGATTTAATTAATATCTTTTTCGATTTTTTTAGTAAAGTTATTGAAATCATATTTTTTAATATAATACTTTCAAATTGTTTATTTTACAGTATCATATACTTGGGATTTTCATCCTGTTGACATTTTCCGTGCTTTCGTCAAAGTTTTCTGCTCTAGTTGTTTATGTATAAAAGTGTCAAAATTAGACATGTCTGTCGTTTTTATTGCCTGAGATCACTAGTTTATGTCACGACATTGGAGACTATTAGTTGTGTCATAACAACTGTACGTAGATAGAGTTACGAATGCAGAAGTGTTGAAGAGAATGAAATGGAAAATACAATAAAAGAAAGGAAATTGCAATATCTCGGACATGTAATGAGAGGCGAAAGATTCAATATCTTGAGACTCATAATTCAAGGAAAATAGAGGGTAGAAGAAGAGTAGGAAGAAGACGCGTTTCCTGGTTGAAGAACCTGAGGGAGTGCTTTGGTTGCAGCTCAAGGCAATTGCTCAGAGCAGCTGCCTCGAAGGTCAGAATAGCCAAAATGATTGCCAACCTCCGTCGCGGAGATGGCACTTAAAGAAGAAGTATGGAGAAGATCAGCCACAGACAAGCAAGGGTGGAGACAAAAAATAAAGAAGGCCAAGGCTCAATTTGGGCTGTAGCGCCGTAGAAGAAGAAGATATCAAAAAAAGAAATCCGTAAGAAAATAATATTGAAAGTACTGTTTTAAAATGGTATGATGAGGAAGAATCTGACTTGTCTGGTATAAAAGATGGATATGATATCAAAGAAGAACATGAATATCAACCTTCAAGTAAAAGTGATGATAATGATAATGTTTTTTAAATGATGAAAATATTGATGAACAATTAGACCAATAGAATGATGAAATTGGAAAAAAATACTATTATGAGAAAGATCGACAAAAGTGGGCGGTAAATGAACCTGCAAAGAATATCTACCAGGATTACAAGGTCCTGCTCGTACTCCAGGACATGAAGCTACTCCAGAAGATGTATGGAACCTTCACATCGCTGAAGCTATGATAAATACTATAGTGCAGTATACAAATACAAATTTAAAGATTACAGAAATTTGAACAAGGTTTGCTGTAGAGACACGAACAGATTTGTAGTAGTGCGTATGTAGAATCTGTTTTTCTGTTATTAAAAGCCCTTTTATGTTCTCCTATTCGTTTATTAAAATTTCTACCAGTTTGACCGATGTAAGTTTTTGGGCAGTCGCCACATTTAAGATTGCATGCACCACTGTGGGACTCCACATCACGCTTAACGTAACTGAAATTGCACCTCATCGGTTATAGGTTAAGAATAACTAAAAAAATCTTAGTAGAAGAATATCTACGTATAAGTCATAAATACTAAAAAATCAAAGTTTCACAAATTTAGATTCAAAGAATTATTTTGCTTGTCTCTACGCAACATTTTGTTATTATAATATTACTACTGTACATATTTTTAAGAATGCAAAAATATAAATATCAGTGGAAACCCCCTTCTCTTGATAAATGTGAGAATCAACAGCCCCAAATTCGATTTTACCAGCTGTCTAGCGAAAGAAATGCTAAATATTCTTGAAAAACTCCATATATTGATGGAATAACTACATTATTAAATACAAATACAAATAATAACTTACCATTAGAGCTGGTATCGATTTGAGGAAGGTTCTGGTCTTGTAGTCAGCTGAATATTCTCCGATAAGTTTTTTACCTTGGCCTTCGAGGACGGCCTGTTCCAATTTGTCAACATCGCCGTGTCTGATCAGCTGGCGCACGTAGGCAGAATTCAGTTGGAGGACTAAAAAGAGTTAAATATGAGATTTTGTTTCTTTGAATTTATGCTTAGAGATTTTACTATTTTTCATGTGCATAATATCAGAAGCAAACACAGAAAAACAAACTACAACTGGAGCAGGGAGGACTTTAATTTGTGTTTGTTTCCTGGTTTATTTACGATATTTACCGTTATACTATTGCACTGCTTCTACAAGAATTTGAAAAATATTTATAATATATCATTTTCAGTTTTTTACTTGCATGTTAAAGAATATCTCATAAATTTAATAAATTTCCTGATAAGCAATATCATTCATATATTATTTAGTGTCTTGTTATAAAAATGATTTTGATAACAGTAATAAAATTAAACAGACCCTTAGTATTTATAAGTATTTTATTATTGTGGTATCACAGTAACCCAAGCTGTCACAATTGACTTAACACGACAGCCTAAAAGACGCGGCAATAATTCGAAATTGCTATGTTTTCCACAAAAGCCTATATCTGATTGTACCAATCCCAGGCAAAATTCTCTCAAGGCAAGGTTCTCATTGTCACATTAAAGTCTACGATATAAATCACAGCTACTAAATGGTCAACGAGCAAGATACTCAAAGATATATCAGTCCGGAACTCCGAGTAAAATCAGAAAACAACATACCTCCCTTCCTAACGTTCCTACCACCGTTTTAACACTTAAAGCCCTGTACCTGGGGAATAGACCTGTAAAAACAAAAATCTGGGCAAGAAAATCACCAAATAACAAACAACAACGCATAGGAAAGGTAGTTAGGTGGCGACACTATAACACTATGGTGGATAAGAGGTCCATAGCCCAGTGGTAACGTAGTGGGCTACAAGCGATGCCAAACGAGAAGACGAACCCGAGGTAAAAACAGCTTTGGCTGGGTAAGGACATTGGACAGATCAACACCAGTCAACTCGTGGGAAGAAATACATGAAGAAAAAGGAAAAATAAGACGAAGGAGATATTAGTGAGAGTGAAAGAGAAAACAGAAAAAAGGGAAGAAAAGAAAGGGATAAAATCCGAGTGTAGAGGAAAAGGAAAAGAGAAGTGGAAGAAACAGGAGATAGAAGAAGTGCAAGTCAAAGCAGCAGGAAGAATGGGGAAGATAAGACAGAAAATATGGAAAGAAGATAGGAACGCGACACCAAGAGAGAGAAGGAAAGAAATGGAAGAGAAAGAGAGAAAAAGGAGGGAAAGAAAGATAGGACGAGAAAAGAAAATCCGATAAATATTGAAGAAATCAAGCCAGAAAATCAAGTAAGAGGACAGAAATGTCCAGTTTGGAGGAAAAGAAACAGCCACCCAACCACAAGCTAAAAACAAAGGTGAAGAGCCTCTAGTACATCGTAGCAACACTCGGGGTAGTCATGAGAGCGATGTCAAACACGAAACTTTGCATAAAAAAGGAGGTCGATAACCTGAGAGATCGGATGCTCGACTATATCGAAGAAGTCGAGGAAACCAAGAAGTAAGTCTGTATGCACGACATCCAGAGGTTCAAGTAGACCTAGAGAAACCCGAAGGCATAAAAAGAAATGTGGAGGCTATCACAGATAACATGACAGCATGCGAGGACGAGAAGGAGCTAATGGAGTTATAATATCTGCTCATACAGATGGATCATGGATTCATAAGGAGAAGTATGGATTCAAACTTCTTCCAACCAAGAATGAAAATTCGAGGCGGTGAAGTTCCTGAAAACGTGCAGGAAGCTGATACAGAATATACGCTTGCAGCACTAGAGTTGTAATATCGCGGAGAATTTTGGAATGGGCTGCAAGAGGAAGGGGTACAATGATCATGCTCCTAGGCAATATATATATATATATATATATATATATATATATATATACAAGATGTACAGTTTGTATTTGGTTTTACAATTTCTGGTGTGACTTCGCGGTTTCCACTACTTTTCTCCATTTTTCTCTCTCTTCGATTTTCCTTTATATATTTGTAATTTTCATACTCCTTAAGTCTTCTTACATCTGTTGTCTCCATCTCAGTTTAGGTCTGCCTCTCGTTTTTTTACCTGATTTTATCCATTCCGTAACAACTCTTAACAGACTGCTCTTCTCTCTTCTCATTATGTGTCCATACCATCTAATTCTTTGTGCTTTTATTGCTCTAACTATGTTCTCTTGACACATCTATTTTTGTATTTCGTGGTTCATCCATTGTCTTGCAACCTCTTCAGTTTCCCTCTTTTATCCCAGTATTTTTCTGATAATCTTCCTTTTAAAATCTTTTAATTGCTCTTCTTCTCTTACTGTTAATGTAAATGTTTCTGCAGCATATACTACTATTGGTCTTATGGTCGTTTTATAGATTTTTATTGTTGTGTTTCGGCTTATCAAGATAAGAATCTCTAAACATTTTTTTATTTCTATAAAACGCTATATTTCCCGCTTGAATTCTTCTTTTCATATCTACACTTGTAACGATAATATTTTGCCTACCACAGGGGGCATTAATACGGGAGATAGAAAATTGGGGAAAAAACTATTGGGGGTGGAGATAGGGCAAGCAAAATAATCGCTACTGATGCGAACGGCACTCAGGATTTCGTAGGAGAGCTGGGGTCGTGGATAAGTAAAAGATAGGGGCATTGGAATGGGGCAACTACAAAAAAATGAAATAAGGGGCTCTTGGGATAAACAAAATAAAAATAAACAAGAAACACCTCAAGGAATTTAATATAGGGCGCCACTTGAGGTGCCTAATTATGCCTATTACAACCACTAGTTGTAACTAGGGAAATAATTAGAAAACAAAATCAAAACATAAAAAACATATCTTTTTCAAATAAACTCAAAAAGGGTTGGCTCAAAAAAATAAATAAAAAGTTAAGACAACAAAATTTAACATTTATTTATGTGTCACCACAAACAGTTACATGGAGAAATACAAATTTCAAAAACCTACATGTGTCATCCATTAACAAACTCCATTGCTACAAAACTTACACAATTGCATGGATGTTGGACCTTTTTAAACAAAAAAAAAACAAAACAAATGAACATCAAAAATACTAAAACGAGCTGTCATAAATTAACATTAAATTCTAAAAAAAAAACCAAACACAAATTGACAACTTTACTCAAAACAAAATTTATAATTTTAAATGTCAACGAAAGCAATTATTATTTTATAAAAAAAAATGTCTGTCTTTAGTTTAAAATTTGAACAAAATGTTACCTTAATTCACATGACACACTCAACTTTCTGAAACCATAACTGGAACCTGGAACTGAGGGCTCCACTCTCTCTGCATGACGAGAACCTCCATCTCCAAAACTGCCAAAAGCCTTGGATAAAAGCAGGAACAAAAGAAAAACAAAACGAGGATGTCCTCCAATCCTCACTCAAAACATTAATAATTGAAGCATTTACTGCCACAAAACAGATAACAAACTGCTACATTTTCTTCATAACAAAAGACGAAAACAGGATACTTTACAAATTCGACGTGAATTCGGACATAACACTGAACCGCTGTTGAAAGCTGCTACAACGAGAGTAAAGAAATTCTATTAAAATTGAACGCATACATACAAACGCTGACATAACAAAACACCACGAAACGACGTACATATCCTTTTGCGACGCACAAACTTGAAAAGCATTTGCCGAAGTAAAATAAATAAACAACTCTAAAATGGTTTATTTCAACTTGGCCGACCTAAGAAAGAAATGAAAAGATATTTGGGTTTAAATACGTACGAAATATTTTTAGATCTATCAAAAATATATAAGGTGATTTTAATATTTCGTATACGAGGGGACTTCATTATACTTCAAAGAATCAATGAAATTGAAAATGCTACACACTTTCATTTCTTCTGTTGACTAGTACTCCTAATATTTGAATATTTCAACCTCTTGGGTCTTCTTTTTCTTGATTACGTTCATGTATTTTGTTTTATTTTTATTTATTTCCAGTCCTCTCAGTTTGGCTTCGTTTTCTATTTCTTGGAAGGTCATGCTCCTAGGCAAAAAAGCAGAAAAGAAGTGGGCCAACATTAACACCTAGTCCAGAGAACCAAAAGGAGTGGTAATTATCAACAAAACCAAAGAGAAATCATTTGTAGGCCTAATGCGAGAACCTGGCTGGAAGAACGACATTAATATAAAAAAAAACAGACAGACCAGAAATCAACGAATATTACTGGAGCTAGCAAAAGGGGCAGCATAAAGAGAAGAATCTTGGTGCAGGAAATTCCAACCAATACAACGAATGAAAAGTTATAAACCACCACAGATAAAGAGCTGACCTGTAACGTCAAAATCTGGACCGAAAGACGAGGCGAAATAAGAGGGATTTAATAAAATTAATTCTCAAAGTTAGTCACTGTTTTAACACCAATGGCATTACTGGAATTCCTAATTCCCAAATACATAGTTAGTGTCTTAAATTAGTAAGTGTCTTATCAAGCGGTGTTTTTTAGCTTCAGAATTTTAGAAAATACTTAAAATAGGACACGCACTGACAAATAAAGTAAACTTTAGATGATTTTCTTTATGAGTTTTCAACCATTCATGATGTTTTGAAGTTTAGACACAGTTAGTATGTCTATCGTTTAATCTTTCAAATCCTTGGAATTCCTAGGTTTTTTTTTATTAGTTTTGTTTCGATTGCGTGCATGTTAAATGTGATAAATGACTTAATTCAACAATATAAATAAATACACAAAATGTATAGATTTTCCAGTTTCCTTTTATAAACAGCATTTTGAAAGACTTTGTATAGTGTTGTAAGTAGTTTCTACATTTGTATAAATTACTTAGTACACAATAAAGCATTCATATTACAGCGAAATATAAAGTTCATGGGTGTGTCTAGGGACTAAATAGTAAAAAACCATGTTTTCTGTCGTCGTTTTATCATTATCATATTCCATAGGAATCACGCTATACCTGTTTAATGGGAAAAGCCATAAAAACTTAATGTATCTGAAACACGGCTTGAATAATTCACGAAAAGTGCATTT